TATATTATCTAGTAGTTACTATATGGACTTCAAAATACTCCTAAGTTCCGTTAAACGTCTTGTGTATTTGTGATTCTTCGTCTATCGGCTGGACTGTACCTTGCTTTGAGTGCCGAAATAACGTTTCGTGCCCATGTAATATTATATTGCTATATTTAGCAAAGTTTATCCTTGTATGTACTTGATTTTCCTTAGGAGTGCATCTAATAAATTGCAAGTCGGACAGAGATATCATAAAACTAAAATAGATTCGATAATTTGTAGATTTATGACTACGTTGATGGCATGGGATCACGCCAAATATTTTGATTATATCACATTATTGGCGAATATTATTATTATGTTGCATGTAAAAATAATCCGGAATGATTTTTTCTATTCGTCATTAATTGTAGGAGATGCGGGGTACTTTAATTGAACAGGAACCCAACATGCAACAAAATGCAAAAAAAAAAAAAAAAAAAAAATAATAATAAATTAAAATAGAAAAAAAAGACAAACTCTCTCTCAGTAAAACTATTGATCAGAATCACTGGTGCAGCAGCCATGTGTTTACCTGGTTTGAACAATAGGAGCCATTTTATGTTTGTCCATCTAATATGTAATATAGTAAAGATTCCTGTATGATGAAAAAAACCACACAAACAAACAAATTTAAATGAAGGCAAACAACGGATGCAAACAAGTACTTGTTAAATCTAAGATATTCCGGTCTAGTAAGGTATGTACCTTTTCGTCCACAAAAGACTCACCAGTGACACTCGAATCAAAAAAAGTTAACAGACAAAATATAATACGAAGTTGAAGAGCACTGAAGAACAAAAATTCCAAAGGTCTTTTTTTTTTTGTAAAGTTTTGGTTCTTCCACTAATCGATATTAAAAAGGGAAAGGTATTTATTTCAGAAAATTACTTAAATCCTCATGTAAAATAGTCATGTGACTGTGCCAACTATAGAACTTATTCCGTGGATGTCTGAAGCTTTTATATCAATGTCATTTTTATCATTTGGATAATTTGTTGTTAATCGTCGATCTTTGATGTTCTTTTATTTTATTGCTAAATTTTCAGGATTCAGGGCGATTTTCAGCTGATTATATTGTATAGAAAACTTGTCTTTTGTTCAAGACCTTATATTCTTGTCTTTGTGTGATCTCTGTCTCACTGCCTTATTCCCCAGGGCATCTTTTTCATAAATTGATATCAATATGTATAATATAAAACCTTTATTGGTCTCCATCAAAGCAAGCAAGGGATCTGAATACTAAACTGATCCTTAACATAAATTGTCTGTATACGACTCGTCCTGAACATTCAATATTTGACGCTGAACGTGAAGCAACCGGCAATCAATCAGTCTATATACGATCAATTATGACGGAGAGGGTATAAAAATGGGGAGATAGACGGGGGTGTGATGGTAACCTATCACATTTTTTAGTAAAGTGTATACTAAAGTGCATTGCATTTACGGAAGTCTGGGTTAGGGAAAATAAAATGATCGTTAAATTTAAGATGACTGGTGTTAGTACTGCTACTTCATTAATGACACATTAACCTGCTTACACCCATCACGCGACTGTTTGATTCATTTAAATCGGGAAATTCTTCTCAATTGTCAACTGCAACGTTTCAGGAAATTTGAAGTAAATATTCATAAGGAAGTGACACACTAATAAAGAGAAAACCGGGTGACCTCCGTATCGTGAGGACACAATAATAAAGAGAAAACCGGGTGACCTCCGTATCATAAGGGTCACAAGGAAACACATAAAGTGTTACATGTAAGTATTGTTTAAGTATGCTTAAAACGTTTTCTATCTTATTCATAATCGTTTAATGCAGTGACACATTTTGAAAGAAGTAACGCTACCTCGTATCTGATTAATAATCTATACACAGACATATATTTAAAAAGTGTGGCTGGTTACATAATCTGCACGGTTACTAGTTGCCAGTTGTGTAAATGACATCACATTTCGAACATTTGAAATTTAAAAGATTTGACAAATGCATATAAAAAGTGCAGAAATGAAAGTAAACAAAAAAAGTTTGAGATACTTCAAAATTTTAGCAATGTTACATGTATTCTCACACATGTAAATAACAATGAAGATGGAAACAAAGAGTAAAATGTAACAATTATGTTTACTAAGGCGTTTGCAAGGCAAAATGTTAAATGTTGTAAAAATGTCTACTTAATAATCATTTCTACTTATTTTGGTCTCGCCTATTACAATTATCTCATATTCGAGTCAACTATTTATGTAGGTTCATCATTGTTCATGTGTGTAATTTCTTTGTATAAACATTTATATTTCAAATTTTTCAACGCTTGACCAAATTGGCACCAAGAAGTCCGAAATTATTGCACCTTTTTTCTTTGCAAAATTTTATAGCGTATTCATGGCGTGAATTAAAACATTTCTTTAAACTTTTATTTTTGCTTATATATATTCTTCTGTCTTTCAGCTTACATTCCTTCCCTTTTGATACTATTCTATTAGTACTACAAACATGAAGTTCTCGCATTTGTTAATGAAGAAATTATTGTTTGTTGTCGAACATTCGCAATTATTAATATGGGCATTATTTTTTGAATTAAGAGTAGCCAATACGGTTAACATATGAGAGTTGGGGATTGTGGTCCAAGAAATAACACATTTATCAACTGAAATCAATAAAAATTTACATTGTACAAGTATATCAAGGACAGTGCGGGCTAATACGTCAGGTCATGTTCAAGCAGTACGAGTTTCCAATACCATATTTATTCTCAGATGACAGAAAAAAAGTTTCGAATAACCCAAAGAAAACGCAACTCACAGTTCCTGAATCATATTTACATACATTTGATGAACATTTATAGATATTCAAATGTTATTTCCTATTTATAAATAAAGGCAACAGTAGTATACCACTGTTCAATAGTCATAAATCAAACCAAAACCGAGGGAAACACATCAACTATAAGAGGAAAACAACGGAACAACAGAAACACTGAACTGCAAAATTTATGAAGATTTTTACCAAATTTATTTTGTTATAATACGTGACATTTCAAAGTTTCGTTAAGTACCTAAAGTTGGATTGATGAAGAGCAGGATTTTTTTTGGGGAGGGGGGGGGGGGGGGGAGATGTTGATTATTTCCGTTTTCTTAATTCTTAGGTCCTTTTCTCTCTTTTTTTTTTCTCTTATTATTCTCTATTCATTGCATATACCGCCCAATGATTCTCTATTCTTTTTTTTCTCGATTCTTTATTTTGTTTGGTATATATGCAATATCTCTCTACAGCCGCAAATCAACGTTTCAACGACTAACAGCAGTATGCCATTCAAGTTTTCCCTCTTCTTTGTTTGGGGCCAAAGGTTTCCCAAAGGAAGCAGAAACTATTTGAGGGGTCGTTAAGCTGCCTTGAGTGAAATGTTTTTCTCTTTTTGACGTACACTCATTTTCGAGTAGATTTCAACATTTTGCGGCATTTCTTCCTGTCAATGTACCGTCCAGAACATTCCTATTTTATTAATTGTTTATTTCTTATCGGCCTGAACAGGCATGACATATTTGCCACTCGATGTTTACCAAGCATTTATCAATCAATCGATTTATTTTGACTTTGAAGCTTTTTTGTGTTTTTGTTTTTCTAGATTTGTCGAATTTAACGATTGAAATGGTGACGGAGCTGTTTAATTGAAGGAAAATATTATTTAAGTTATCTGACATTTCATAGAAAGTGACTTTTTCTTACAATAATTCAACAGCTCAAATAGCAGAACCTTTCATATGTTCAGTTTACTAAATGCTTATGAAATTACATCGATTGGTAATCACTCTTTTCTTGACCAGACAAACATCTTCAACAAGAGACATGAAGTCATACATGTTAAACATATATAACTGGTATATTACATTACTATCTGTCTCACTGATCTCATTTGACATTTCCGATGATGGCATAATTTATATAATACACCAGCAACAAGTAGTAATACTATCATCAGAGAATATGTACTTTACTTTATGTTAAAACCTTCTGTTATAATTTCATTAACGCAATCATTGGTATCTATCAAAATTGACCCGGACTGAATTTGACTATTCTTTTTATGTCCCTTTTGGCAATAATTACGAATTATTTAAGGAATAACTGTAAATGTAATATTTTTCTGTCTATGAAGAAATAACATAAAAAATATGGTGTACGCGGGTTATCTAAAAGTGTGCACCACATTTTTAGGTTATTTCGAATAGACAGAAAAAATATTACATTCATTCCTTATAATCTAATTCTAAATTCCATTTTTAAGGAGTAAATTTAAAAAAAAAACGTTGGTGACGTCACGGTCACATGACAAAATTATGTCTATGAGCTGATAGACAAAACACTTTCAGCCAATCAGAAGACGTGTTACATCCAAAATTAAATTATTTCAGTATAATACAAACATGACTCTCTTTAGATTTGAGTGTTGCAGATGAAGCTAGAAAAATTCTTCCAACGCACGAAATTTATCAAGTCATATATTTTATCTTTTTTTCTTGTACAATTAATAATACTTGTTTTTGACCTCTGCTCGTGGACTGTTAGTTTCTGAGTGAATCATCAGGCTAGTTGCCAAGACTTTTGTACTGGCATGACAATAAGGATATGAAGATATTGTTCTATTTAAATTTGATGTTATAAAAGTTTTAACTCAGTTTGAATTAAGGAAATTATCTCCTGAATGCATGATGCTGATTCCTAGCTCGGGGTCGGCTTTAATATTAGTTCTTTATGGTTTAATCAGCTATTCTACGTTTGCAATAGGTTTTGGGCTTTCAAATATGTTTACCTCGAGCATCACCGAAAAGACATTAATTGTCAAAATGGACATCTGGTGAGGTAAAATTTGTACCGTTAATGTTGTTGCTATTGGAGGGGGAAGACGGTGTCGGACGGTCAAAACGATACTTCTAAAGGAAGATAGTTAAACTGATATAATAAATAAAACAAGCTTACCTGTAACAAAAGACTGTCTAATAAAATAACCACTGCTATAGTTCGTCAATAAAACTAAAACTAGAAACAATGTCTTGGATATGTATAAGGCTCTCTTGCTTGCCATCATAATATATATATATTGTTGTTTCTTCTTTCCCCTTAATCGTACTTTCGTCTCTCAATCCTTTGTTAGATAAGCTTTTGCCGTTTTCAGTAATATTTCTTTTATTTCATTGGTATCATACGACGTGACTTATTACAGGGTCAGCAGTTTAGATTACCTGACAAGTTAAAGTTACAAACAGGCGCCCGCTATGAGTTTACTTCACTTCTAATGCTTTCTAAAACTGTGCGTTTAAGTCTCCTTGGTAGTTTACTTCACTTCTAATGTTTTTAAGTTTACTTCACTTCTAATGCTTAATAAACTTTACGTTCCGGTTTCCTTGGAAGTTCACGTTCTTATGTTTCCCTATAAAGTTTAAGTCTCAGTGGTTAATGTCATATCGCCTACTAGTTCGACGGAGGTGCGCGCTTTAAAAACTTAGTCCCGGTGTGGATATAAAAGTTATTACATATACTGGTGATTCGCTATATAGAAGAAAATCCATGTACACATGATCAGAACTGCTCTCCGCGGTGATTTGTCTCAGCGTTTACTGAATAATAATGAACATTTTATAGCAATGCACCTGTTTATATCAATATAATTAAAAAGTTAATGTCGCGAACTTCGCCCTCTCCGGAAGTCATAAATTCCTTAATTTATCCGTAATATTCCAGCAGTTCAACACTATGTCCAAATATGATACAATATGATTGGTTCTTTAAAGTTGAGCTAATATTATCGGTATTTATGGTCTATACCGTTTGTTCGTGTAAATATTTCTGTATGATTTATGATATTCGATATTATTACAGTATAATATACTCTCCCACTCAAAATCAGTCAAATTTATATTCGCAGTTTTATCAATAAATTTATAACTTAAAAAGTAATGCGATATCATTTAAATCGTTAACCTTTCGGTAATTTTATGCATATTTATTTGCTTTTAACAAAAGCACTCATGACTTAAATGCTTAAGACATAAATTGAATTCTAAAGATAAAATTAATATTAATATCAATAATATTTTCTTTTAGCTTGTAATTTAGCTTTCCTCCTGTTCGAAATTGAATTAAATTGTAGTCAAAGTTATTTTAATTTTAAATCGTAATGTTGCGTTATTTGAATACATCTCTGTTGGAATGTATTTATTATTGCTCAATGAATAAATTGAAATTGTGTATACCATTTTATGTATAATTATGTATAACTTGAATCAACCATTGATTTGATTTAAAGCAAGACTAAAGAATGAATTAGAAATATCTGAATTTATAAAAACAATCTCACCCAAGTCATTAATCTATCCTATTCGTAAATCACTAAAACGCACACTAGCAACTATTTTCATATAAAGAAAGTGAGCACGATACAATGTAAACATATAAAGTCATTAGATATACCATTTAGTCCATTAGAGAGGGTCCTAATAGGGACTTCTTCATTTCTGTGTTCTTTCATTATTTAGGCCATTTTTCTCTATTCGTGATATTGTAGGTCCATTTTTCTCTATTCTTTATATTGTAGCACCCGGTTATTCTCTATTCTTTATTTTTTGGTCCATTTTTCTTTATTCTTTATTTTGTTTGCCCATTATTTTTTATTATGTTAACCCCCACCCAGACCCTCTTAAGAAATCTTTACAATATGGTATTATGTACTTGTAGTGTCTAAATGCAAACGTATTACAACCCTAGAACTATTTTGTAATTTTATTTTATTTTTTCGTCATTCTGGAAATCATTTTTCTATCAATTTCTAGCATACAGTAAATAAATTGATATCCGTAGAATAATGATTGCTATATAAAAAGAAAACGATGGACAAAATAACCTATTATCTTGGAGAATTAAGTTGAGTTTATTTATTGGAATACATTGAAATAGATAGAAAGTGTCATTTAGCTTACATACAGTTTTATATTCAGTTTAATTTGAAAAGAATAACATTTTTGGAAAGCCTACATATAAATAAGAAGATGTGGTATGAGTGCCAATGAGACAACTCTCCATCCAAGGTACATATACATACAACGTAGTCTTAACCATGCTTGTTATTGGAACTCAACAATAAATATAATTTCAAAGTACGGTTGATCGTAGTGAATTAGAGTGAAAGTATTTTCTCTTGTCTTTTTCCTGATGTATAGGTGTGGTACCTATCGTATGGTAAGTTTCACACCAAAACGGGACTTTCGGTCATTCAGCACGGCAGCGCCAAAGCGCTCGTTACTAAAATTACTTGGTACATTTCTATTTTATTAATAAGATAAGATTAATAGGACTGGAGAATTGTTTTTCTTTTGGTTTTATGTTGTGTGTAAAATTAAAATTGAGAATGGAAACGGGGAATGTGTCAAAGAGACAACAAACCGACCAAAGAGCAGAAAACAGCTAAAGGCCAACAAAAGATCTTCAACACAGCGAGAAAATCCCGCACCCGGAGGTGGGCTTCAGCTGGCCCCTAAACAAAACGTATACTGGTTCAGAGAAAACGGACGTCACACTAAACTCCGTAGTATATATTTAATAAACTCAGCAGCGCCGTTGTCGTGTAGCTTTGCACTTTAATTTTCAATGTTTGTATTCTTCATACTTTAACAGTAAGTTATTTCCTTTATATGTTTTTTTTTCAAAGCATACATCATCATGGGGTAAACACATGCTAATATTGACGCATTTTTACCACGTGTTAGATTGTGGTTTGTCATTACGTCGTCTGATCTTTTAATTACCGAACGTGACTTATTCCCGATTGTGACTGTTTTGCTGAGTGTGGAACCGCATTGCTATAAGACGTGTCACGGTACCTTTCTATCACAAATTCATGTATTTAATTTTGATGTTATATTTGTTGTTCTTGTCGGATTTTGTCAAATGTCTTTACGTCTTTTCTGTTATATTCGTGTGTTATGGTAAAGATAATTAATCACCCCTTCATTTATTAGATTTTAGTTTGGTTCAACGAAATTTATACGATATATTTGGTTTACAGTATTATTCAGAAGAAACACCGACATTACCTAATTACTACCATTTGATATTAATAAGTATTGTAATTTTCATTGTTATTAGTAAATGTAATGTCAGTATTACAAATCTAATCTTTAATCAATCCTAATCCTATCTTATTTTTGGGAAATATTTTTACAAATTCAAATGTGACGTCACTTTGTGTGTTTTTTTAGAATTTCAAATGTGACGTCACTTTGTGCGTTGAGGCTTTGGCTTTGGCTAACTCGGCTGTGCATTTTTTTATGTGTTGGATTAAGTTGTTTTATGTAATGTATCCGTTTTTATTCTGTAGTTAGTCCCCACTTTGGTTTTATCATGTATATCTATTATATAGTCATTTTATAAAATTTACTGTTTGCAAAATTATAAATTATTCTAAATAATAAGGATGTTCTTGTCCCAGGCAGAAAACCCTGGCCGTGTTAGGCGCAACTTTTTGGAAGTTTTGGTTTCTCGGTGCTCTTCAGCTTTGTACTTATTTTGGCTTTCAAACTTTTTTCATCTGAGCGTCACTGGATGGTCTTGTGTGGACGAGACGCACGTCTGGCGTATTGAATTTTAAGCCTAGTACCTTTTGTTAGCTATTATTCGTGTGTTTCTTTGTCCTATATGTTCTCCCATTTATTTGTATTGTGGTCTTGTCATGTGATGTTGTCGTTTTGGTGTTGTGTTTGACGTTGCCATAAAAGCGGGAGGTTTGGCATGCCACAAAACCAGGTTCGACCCACCAATTTTTCTTTAAAATGTCCTGTACCAAGTCAGGAAAATGGCCATTGTTATATTATAGTTCGTTTCTGTGTGTGTTACATTTTAATGTTGTGTTTTTGTTGTGTCGTTGTTCTCCTCTTATATTTGATGCGTTTCCCTCAGTTTTAGTTTGTATACCTGATTTGTTTTTATCTCTATCGATTTATGAGTTTTCGAAAAGAGGTATACTACTGTTGCCTTTATTTACACTACAAATTCTCACTGAGTACAGATAAACCTGTGCACCTGTAAAAGTTTTAATTAAGGCATAGCAGGAACTAGATAACTAAATTTTAAATGCATTTTATGTTTCAGAAAATTATAAACCTTTCTGGATTTTGCTATTCATTTTTTTTTCATTCCTGTAGAAGGTGCCAAAATAAACTAAGTTGGGAAAGAGGTTTGAGAAGCTCCCAACATATAATAAATATTGTAAGTAGTATTGATTTAAATGGACAATAGATGGACAATAGACATCTGCAAACAATAGTTGATATAAACTGTGGAACTGAGTGGACCGTGCAAGGGCTGTATAGCCAGTCAAGGTCGTTAAAAACTTCCATTTGTTTGACCGTATCAAATGAAACTCGTGTGTTTGTTTATTTTGCTATCTTCTGCTGACTGGAAAATAATGCACATCAAAATCCAGGTAAGTTTAAAATTTTCTGAAACATTGACTACATATAACTTTTATATATCTAGGTCCGTGGCACCATACCTTAAAACTTTCCTAGATGCATTAGTTTGTCTTTACTCATAGTAGATTTTGTAGTGTAAACAAAGCCATATTTTTCAATTCCTTTTGATGAATCTCAATGGCAGTACATCTTTATTAAAAAGAGAAGATGTGGTATGATTACCAATGAGACAACTCTCAACTGGAGACCGAATGACATAGACGTTAACAACTATAGGTCACCGTACGGTGACAATAAGCAAAATCATACAACTTAGTCAGGTAAAAAAAGCTATGCAAAATATAAAACAATATATATTTTTATATATTTCTTCAGTTCGTATGTAGCCTATTTTTTCATTTTTTTCAGTGACGGTCAACATTATTTGTCCGACTCGTTTAACCCGATTAAGCTTCTTTGCATAACCTAACTGTATGCATTGTATTTATTGGTAATTTAAATATGCATGAAGTATTTGTTTTATCAATCAGTCAATCAATCAATCAATCAACATTATGAAATTAACATGTAATACAAACGTATAGAATTTATTAATTGGACAAGTCACGTTTTCCTGAATAACGAGACACACACACTAGTAGCCAAAAAGTAAAGATATTCAAAGGACATTGTTGCCTGACTGAGTTGTAAGGCTCTATAGTGGAGTGACGAAGCCAACAAATTTTCAACTTTAATGGACCACCCTAACTGCAGGTTAAATTATGAAATTTCGTTTAAAGAAATGTTTAAACTTTATATTTTGCCTGGTCGTAGAATCACAAAATGGTGCAAATTTGTAAAATTTCAGGTCAAAGTTCGGAAGATTAGTTTTTCGTTAGTGTAAAAAGTCAGGAAATAATATCTGAAATGTGAAATAGACCAGACATTACTCCTTTTAATGAAAGAATAAACAAAATCAGTTCACTTTCGAGTCAATTTGAAAAAAAAAATTAATCATCACAAGCCCATATTTAGGGAAATATAGGTGGGCAACAAGAAAAGGCAAAGACAAATCAGGAAATGGCTTTCAATTGATATTTTTTACACTACCTGTACATTTAAAGATATATTTATTGTTTTTCACGCAGTTGCCTAAGAAGAATCGAAGTTTATTTTGTTTTTGTTGAAATATATACCGGTTGCAAGCGGCAAATATTTCACTAAGTAACTGAATAAAATGGT